TTGTTGAAAAAGAAGAAAAAATTATTGATGTGATGGAAAATATTATTTTATTGAAAAATGTGTGGTTGAAAATGAGAATTGATTTGAGAATCAAAAACAAACAGGGCCTAAGTTGATCCTACTAATGAAAAGGCTTTCAGTAAGGTAGTGAAGCCATAACCAAACATTATTGACTTTGGGATATCCTTAGCCTTTGTTTCGTTTTCATTATTTTTAAAATATATTTTCTCTCTTATTTTTAAGAGTACATTCTTCAATAATAATATATATGTAAATTTAATTTATTTTTATTTTTTAACTACGTATTAATATTATTCATCAAATCACTATTTATCCCCAATGCTGTATCTTGTAGGTTCTAATAGTTCCTATAATTTAGTATTTTTTGGATAGGAATTCTCGAATTTGTTTTAAAAGAAAGTAAGATTGTTACAATAGTTGAGATCAACTGTATTATTAGTTTCAAGAGTTCTATACAAAAATCATAAAGGAAATTTAAACTGGAGCTTTAGAAAATGTTAAAAGTTTCTGTTTATGGCCATGGGAGAATATTAGATAATGATGGGATGGGATGAGATGGAGGCCATTGGCACGGGCTTCTGAAATTAGAGATCCATACGGGGCGGACTATCAGTACTGCTGCCCGAGCATTTGATGAAGCTGTCGTCAACGAATCCAAACTCAATTCTCCAAAAAACCTGCATCGTCCCATTTTCATCTTCATTTCAGATTCTCAATTGATGATTTCTCATCATTCGGTTTTGACTTCAGCTGAACCTATTGTTCATACTCAAGCTCAGCATCAACTGACGCCGGAGTTTGCCTAAGAGAGAACATTAGCATTTTGCACTTGGCTTAACCGATCAACAAATTAGACGTATCTTTGCAAGTTCCCAATATTCATGGTAATATTATCAGATCAAATGAACCGCGTACAAGAAATATGAAGTCCCTGCTTGACCCTTAATTTCTAGAACTTATTTTTTCTCAACCTCTTCCTCTGGAATCTATAACTTTTATCAACTTTTACTAAAATCTATTAAAAATCTGATTTTTAACCAAACCATGCAGAGGCATAATCACTCTCATATTCTTGCAAAAGCTAAATTTGTTTTATAAGTCAATACTCCAACTTCATAAGATACTATCACTGTCAACATTATATTGTTACAAGTTTCACAATTAAAATAGAAAAAATAATCCACCAGATTCATGGTACATAGATAACAGGTACTAGCGTCGTGAATGGTGAACCTGCTAAATTCTCAGCAGCAAGCATGGATATTGATTGTCTAAATTAATGAATCATTAAATGGTAATAACATCACAACAGACTCAAAGGAGAAAGTGAGGTCTCGAAGGAGAAACAAGGGTCCAATTCACTTCCTGCAGAGCATTAAAACGGTAGAAATTGCAACCTGCAAGAGAATCAGTCTCAACAAAAGATCATATCACTCACTAACATTCCAACTCAGGAATGTGTTCTCGATGAACAGAGCGAGACCTCCTACATAACTTTTCAAACTTGAAGTGCAGTTTTGTGGACCATTGTCTCCTTGTGGATTTGATGGCAACTCTTTTCAACAAGGTCAAGCAGCTTCTCCAAGTTCATAGCCCATGAATTTAGAGTGTCATTGCTGTCCTTCGCAGTCTGGAAAGACACTATACCAACAGGTCTATCGATCTTCGCGACCAATGCCTTGGAAACAACCATTTCAGAAAGATGCTTCTCAGCTTCCTGCAGGAAGACATATTATGATAATATAGATAAAATAATATGGACACTTTCCATCTTCAAGCATAGAAATAAACAAATAAAGAGCAGATGATCCGGGACAGATTTAGATAAAAGGGTATTGAAACTGTTTCAGGAGAAGTTAAGCAGAAAGAAATTATCACTTTTAAGTGTGGATTATCAATGTGGCTAAAATGATATTTTCCCATATACACAATGCTGGGCATGCTTCCGAAAAATGACTCAACCATAACAGATACATCAATATGCAAGTTATACTAGTTCATAACCTCATGTCCCGAGTCTAATTCCAGAAATTTCTAAATGTTTATTCCATTTAATTATAGGGCAAGAAGGTCGAATCTTAAAAAGAAACACAAGATAACAATTGATAAATGAAAATAATTCTGATAACCTCAAACTTAATCCAAGAAACGTTCAGGAAGAAAATTCACTAACAGATCGCATACAACTTAAAGCATATTCTCAATCGATGGCTCTATTAGGAAATTGCAACAAATCATATTCGTTAAACAAGCAGCCAGACCTGGATACCAAGACATAGTAGATCTGCAAGCCTCTTCAAGGATATACGTGAGTAGTATTTTGAGACAACAAGGATGTTCTGCAAGGAAATACACTTCTTATAGATAGATGTTACACATCCAAAAAAAGTAGATACACTCAAACTGATATATGAAACATGGCAACAGTATTATTAAAGCAAAAGATCAGATTAAACAGCATAACTAAAATATGTGGCTTATTACATGCTCTATTACTCTTAGTCTGAGGTCTTCAGCTGCTTTTTCACCCAAAGAACCACCCAGCATGTTGTTCTCATTCTCAAACTCAACTTTGAAAGTGTTCCATAGAGATGTCCACTGAATGACCTCCATGGTAACTAATTGCTTGAGTAGTAATCTAATGACGAGCAAAATAACATGTCAATTAACACTGGATAACATATGATGGAAAAAAGAAAAAAATCAAAAGGAGAAAGTTCAAAAAACTTCAAAGTGCTTGCCTAAACTGAGGAATTTCTGAAAGATTCTTGTCCTCGAGGGTTGAGTTAATAAGACTAGACTGCATAGGATCATGTGGTGATAAGACCAAATACCAGCATATTTTCCTCAACACCTGCAACATATATAATTAATGCAAAAGGTCATAGGAATGAAGAAGGCATACAGATTAAGTGAGGCGAATATGCATGCAATGTATTTTGAAAAAAATAACTACAAAGAAGAGATACTTCACCGGTATCCATTGCGATGGGTCTTCTTTCACTGAGGGAATCTCATATATTGCCTTGTAACATCGGCATATTTCAAGGTAATCATTACTATGTGAGTGGTACCTACACCAAATGGTGATCAATCAAATAAGTATTCTAGGTATGTGTCGGACATTACTGAATAACATCAAAATATTGATCAGCACAAGCAAATACATAATTACATAAACAAATAAAAAGGGATTGTATATTCTAGTTTTTCCAACCAGGATCACAACTTAGAGCGGCTATAACCCATTCATGTCTTCAAGCAGGACGCATAGGCCATGTAACGGTGACTTGTATAGCTTCACACACACACATGGATTTCTCTTTGGGAATGTTCTAAATGCCAAGTTTGTGATAGGATCCCCTGCTGCTGTTGCAGAATTGTAAACAGATGTATTGAAATTTATACAAACAGGAAATAGAAATTGAAAGAACAATTCCAAGCATTCGAGAGGATTAGATATCTCCCCCTAAATCAACCACTAATCACTCCTTGAATATCCCACATCCCCCTTATTACATTTATAGGCAACCTATCTCGCTCTATTCTCCATAATACCCCTGCCCTTAACTGAATCTGTTTCTAACTGAATAAGCTTCTCAATTCTTCTAGGTCCTTCCACATTGACGGGAGTCTATCAGTTGCACCAAAATAAGGAAACTAAATTCTAAAAGGAAATAAACTAATTTTAATCTAAACAAGACTTAAGAATAAAAGATAAAACCTATTACAACTAGAAAATGAAACTATAAAAGATAAATCACAATTGTAGTAGGAAACTACCAATTATGGTTATGTACTACGTCAAATATAACTAACTTTGCATCAAATGTTATTTAGCATGGAAAGAACATAGTTGTTCGATATCATTAACAACCACAGTTGCCAAAATTAACAACACTGATTAAACTTATAATTTTAAATTCCATAGCTCTAAGGCAATCATGATTCAATTGTTTGTCATTCGATATCATTATTGATTACAAGGGCACAAACTATAAATGATTGTTAAACATAATGAAAATGAACTAAACAGGATAGTGTCACACACCATTACATAGTTCAAAATTTAACAGATCAAAATCTGGAGCTGGACAGAATAAATTTGAAAGATAGAAATATTATAAATTTTCTACAGATAAGCTGATCAGTGATTTGATAAGGCTCCGGATAAAAAAGAAGCATCATTGCATTTGGTCGTATGAACAGAAGTTGAATGCTAGAGAATGATTTATGAAGTACCCAATAGAACTCTACAGACGTCATTAGCAACACATGGGAAGTTTCATGCTATTAACAAGAACCAACTTTAATGCCAAAAATACCCCTCAAATTCAAGCAATAATGATATGGTAATTCATGTGATAGTGAAGATTTTAGCAAAACATCAAATCTAATATCACAAGAAGATTAATAAGACTTTATTGTCATTGACCTGTCCTCTCTATTTGACTGTGTCTACACACTGTTATTTGCTAAGATTTCTGCATGCATGACATGTACACGTGGGCGTGT